AACTTCTAAGGAACTCCACTACCACCCTTGAGAAATTCTCCTATGTACGTGAGGTAAAACTACGTTCACTGGAGTACTGTTCGTAATAGCAAAATCTAGAGAGAAAAAGATAAATGTTTATGAACAAGAATATGGCTAAACTGAGTTACACATAAAAGTTGAATACTAAGTAGCAGAATAAAAGAACTAAGTATTTCAAGATGGTTAAATATAAAAAAATATTCAGGGTAAAGGAAATTGCAAAATAATCTCTAACTGTACCCATAAAACAATTTAAAATACACAAAACAGTTGAAGATATGTTTATTATTTATGATACAAAAATGTCATAAAGATATATAAAGACCCTCATGAGAATGGAAAGATCACCTAATTCAAGTGAGTGGCTACTCTTTGAAGGGAAGAATGGGGATGGGACCATGGAAAGTAGAGGGAGAGCCTCACCCTGGCTGTAATATTTTCTTTTCCAAAAAACAAAACCTAGGACAAATATGACACAATGTTAAGAGATGATAAAGCTGGGTGGAGGTACATATTATATGTATGTTTGAAATATTACTGTTACAGGTTGAACAGCATCCCCCAAAGAGATAAGTTGAAATTTTAACATCCAGATACCTGTGAATAGATAGAAGAGACAGTCCGTCCCTCTCAAGGCCCAGCAGGTTCCACTGCCTGCCCTTCTACATCCCAAGGCTGATTCCCTTCTGGGAAGTATTTGCTGGAAGTATTTTCTGACTATCTGTTTTGGATGGTAGCTCCCCAAAATGTGCTGAAGTCCTAACCCCAGTACCTGTGAATATAACCTTATCTGGAACAGGGTTTTTATAGACCTACTCAGGTCAAGATGAGGTCACTGGGGTAGGCCCTAATCCAATGTGACTGATGATAAGAGAAGAAAAGACACAGTTGGAAGAAAGCCATGTGATGAGATGGGCAGAGACTGGAGTGATGCAGCTGCAATCCAAGGAACACCGAAGACTGATAGCCACAACTACAAGTTAGGAAGAAGGAAGAATTCTTCCTACAGGTTTCAGAGGAAACAAGGTCTGCTCATCTTAATTTGTGACTTCCAGCCTCCAGAATTGTGAGATAATAATTTTTTTTAAGCTACCCAGTTTATGGTACTTTGCTAATGCAGCCCCAAGAAACTAAGACAATTGTATAATAAAAATGAAGAAAAATCTTAAGTATCTTTACATTTACCACCCCAAAAATTGCTATTTTGAACTACTGGCTGCCTGGAGCCAGACTATGTGTTTATTCCTAGAGGGATACTAATTTGAAAAAACCAGAATCACAGTTTAATTCCCATACATAAAACTGGGTTTATGGATATGTTCGTACTTACCTTGAATGTGATAATGTGGATATATACATGTCTCAAAACATATCAAAACACATAGTTTATATGTATGTATCTTATTGTATTTCAATTATATGTCAATAAAACTACAAAAAGGAAAGGACTTTGAACATCTAAATTCAGGAATTAAGGAAGATTCTGAGTGATTCAGAAGAAGCAGTCAGAAGGCAAGTTAGTAAAGGAAGGAAGAGAAGAGGACCCAGCATCCAGTGGCCAAGAGTAGAAATTTAGGCATTTTGGGAGCAAAATGTTATATTCTGTGTAACAAAACATTTACTTCTTTTCCTTTCCTGGAAATTTTTCAACAAAATTTACATTGCTTACTAATACTTTTGGTAAGAGCATATTTATCTTTGGGAAGATCAAGAGAAGAGAGTACATTTGTGGGGGAGCTCAAAGAAAATGATGAGGGAACAGAAGACATTACAAATAAATGAATGGAAAAATTACTGTATAAATGCATATCCTAGGAAATACAGATGGACAATGATCAACTATGGTTATCTTCTCTTTCATGATTAGTGGGTAAATGATGCCCTCTCATTATAGCACTTCCCTGCTTAGTAGAATTTAAAGGTCATGAATGAGGTGCCACCCTCTTCTGGCCTCAGATAATTTACCTAGTAAAATTAATTTCTGAAGCTAAAAGTAAAAGAATTTAATCTTGTACCAAGAATTTTTATAAAATACTATCAAGCAAGTGAACTTTTGGTTCCATTTGTGAAGTAAAGCACGAACAGGCAGATAATTCTGTCATCAGAATTTTTAAAAAAACAACCACTTTATTAAGATACACTGCACTCCATAAAATTCACCCTTTAAAAATTTTAAATGTAGTGGTTTTTTAGTACAGCTACAAGGTCATACAATCATCACCACTATCTAATAACAGAACACTTTCATCCCCAAAAGAAATCCCGTATTCATAAAGGTCACTCTCTATTTGTTTCTCCCCCTAGCCTCTGGCAATCACTAATCTACTCTCTCTCTGTGGATATGCCTAATCTGGACATTACATATAAATGAAAAAAATTATATAATATGTGGCCTATTTTGTCTGACATTTATTACTTGGCATAATGTTTTAGTTCATCCATGCATGTGTCAGTACTTAATTCCTTTTTGTTATCAAGTAACAGTCTACTGCATGAATATATCACATTTTGTTTATGTTGAATGCACCTCTTGACGCACATTAGGGTTATTTCCGTTTTGTGACTATTATGAACAATGCTGTTATGAACATTTCCTGTACATGTTCTTCTTTTAATGAATATATGTTTTCAATTTTCTTGGGGACATACCTAGAAGTGGAACTGCTGATCATTGTATAACATGATGTTTAAGGAACTGCCTAACAGTTTTCCAAAATGGAGGCAATAGTTAATACTCCCAGCAACAATGAATGTATGGGGGCTTCAACTTTTCCACACCATTACTGATTATTATAACCCAACACTGATTATTATCTTTTCTATATTAGCCATCCTACTGGGTATGAAGTAGTATCTCATTGTAATTTTAATCTATATTTCCCTAATAAATAATTATATTGAGCAGTTTTTCAAGTGCTTATTGGCCACTTGCATATCTTCTTTGGAGAAATATCAATTCAAACCCTTTGCCTGTCATTAGAATTTCGAGGTAAACTATTCTGCACACAAATGAAGTCTAACCATTTTGAGATAATAAAAGTACTTACATTTTGCTTTCTCTTCATCTCTGCCTCTTGTAAGAAGGACAAGTCCAACTATTAAATTATTGAAGTGTAGTCCTTTCGATGTTCCACCAAAGGAACAGTAAATCACCTAGGAGAAAATGATAAAGCCAACCTTAGGTATTTCCACTGTTGAGGAATTTGAGGCTGATATCATCTTTAAAAAATCTGTCTCCATTCCCAAAGAAGGCCCTGGTAAACTTTAGTGAAATGATGTTAAGTTTCTCCCTCTTCCTCTTATACACTTTGTTATCTCACTCATCCAAGAATATACTGTATCTATTCTATGAATATATATCACAGGCTCATACACTGAATATTTATTTATTCTTTTTCTTTGGAGTCCTTATCAAGGTCCAAGTAGATAAAGGTCCTCTCATATCTGATTATAAGAGACCCAATAATATAATAAGATAAAGGTCCCTCTTTATTTTGGTAGCCTCAATAATGTAAGAAGAATTTTGAGCAATTATACAATTTCCCTTAACCTCTATAAAATTCATAAAAACCCATGAGAACGGCATTTTGCCCCTTTGCCCCTTCGCATTTTCCCTGTCTGAGAGAGCTTCCACATTGGGGAAAAAGAAGCTTCCCCATGCCTCTGAGCCAAGGGCCAAACTCCAGGAGGATAGAAGCTCCTCTATTCCGGACCTTGCCCTATGTATCTATCCATCTTGCTGTTCACTTGTATCCTTTATAGTATTCTTTAGTAAACTGATAAAGGTAAGTGTTGTTCTGAGTTCTGTGAGCCACTCCAGAAAATTAATTGAACCTAAGGAGAAAGTTGTGAGAACCTCCAATCTGTAGGTAGTTGGTCAGAAGGACAGGTAGTAACAGCCTGGGGCTTGTGACTGGCATCTAGGGCAAGTGGTGTTACAGGAAAGGGTGGGGGGTTGCTGTCTTGCAGGACTGAGCCCTTAATTGAGTGCTGTCTCCAGGTATAGAGTGTCAGAATTGGTTGAGTTGAATTCTCAGACACCATACTAGTGTTCAAGAATTGCCTATAGGGGTAGGGGGAAGACCCCCCTACCCCTGCAACACACACACACTGGAATTGGGTCCAGGAAACCTAACAGAACCCAAAGGATATTAGAACCAGATATATGCATATGGATGGAGTATTGACAATGTCTATATAATTAGGAAGATGACTATATTAAACTGAATAAAAACTCCCTGAATAGACCAAAAGCAGTGAAGGACTGTCATTGGTGAAAGCAAGTAGGTCAAAGAGCCACCCATAAGAAATCATACAGCACTGAGTGCTGCAGAAAAGAATTTTACTAAAAGAGTTTCTAAGAGTTTTACTCCACCATCTCTAGCGACTTTTCCCAAATTAGCTGACCTCTGAAAAGAAAAAAAAGAATTTTCTCTATTAAAGATAGACATTTTTCTATTGTTTAAGTTTTGTACAATGGAGATACATTATTTCTGAAAACAAAAAAATGACAAATTTTCAAAACACAAATATTTCACTGTGAAAATCAGGTAAGCAAAATAAATGATAAAATAGGCCTTGATGGGTCGTAGAGATCACAGAATGGCTCAGGCCAAATAATGATACACCTGTATGTCCATGAAGAAAAGCAGCAGTGCTACAAAGTGAATGATGGTTAGGTTCCTCCAGGATCACCTGTATATACTGCTGTAAGAATGTGACAGTGTGTCTCATTATACCATAAGTACAGACAGTTGCCTTTAAAGTAGAATTGGAAATTTCCAGATTCACAAATACAGCAGCAGTAAATGTCATGGACTTTTGAGCACAGCATATAAATAGCTGAAACATGAACAATTAAATTAAAAAATGTCAAAAATATGCTGCACATAAACATCTATATGTTATAATTAAATTCATTAGACAACTAAAAGTCAATACTCTGTCAACTGGGATGAAATGTAAATCTTTAAATATACCTCTGAGAAACATTTCCTGAGTGTATCTGGGACTTTACCATCCACCACATGGAGCATTCTTTCCATTTCTTCCCGTATAACATAGCTCCCAGATTCGCTTGCAAAAAGACTAAAAATGTCTAGGAGAAAGAAACAACAAATTAATCTTACTATAGATTAAATATACCCTGGTGGAAGGGTGGTGAGCTGAAGGATAAGAAATGATTGGATGAGAATAACCTGCTTGAAATGGGGATTTCAAGGTCAGATTGAACCCATGATAACAAGGTCTACAGGGTCCACCAAGGAGGAGGTATGAGGTGGCCTAAAGAAGGCGGCCCTGAGACATGACCTGGTGGTGGAATTGAAAAGCTAGAGTACAGACAGTGTTGGCTCTGAGTGATAGTACAGGACTTACCCATGGCCACAGAAGTGTAGATTGTGCAGAGCAATCTTAAAGAGAAAAATTACCATTGTTCTGACTTTTAAAAAAGCATTGTTAAAACATTAACTCCTTTACTATCAATTATAAATGTATGCAGAATTTTTAAAGTATGAAACTAACATTAAGTACACTGTAATTTAAAACATGAGACTTGGAGAATTAGTGTTTTATTTCTTTGTGAAAACTACCAACAGTAGTTTGAACAGTGCTTGCTTTATCCCATAACTTACCTGTTCTGTGCCTTGATAAATTGATATAATCCTTTCTAATAAAATGTATTCCAACATTTAAAATAGACACACACACACCCTGGTAGAGATAGGAAGGGAAGACAAGGGTAACAACTACTGAATGATTAACTAGTGCTAAGCACTTTACAAATATGTAACTTAATTTATTCCTCAAAAAATTAAAATTAAAATTTAAGAAACCCAGGAATTAGGCATCTTCTTAAACACACCGAATGTGCAGAAATGTTTAAGTGTGACTATACAAAGTACTAAAAAAATATTGGGAGAAACAACAACTCTTATATACTATTTATGTGAGTATAAATTACTGCAACCACTTTGGAAAGCAACTTGCCAAAATCTAGTCAAGGTGAAGATGTATGGTAGAAATTGAACTTCTAAGGAACTCCACTACCACCCTTGAGAAATTCTCCTATGTACGTGAGGTAAAACTACGTTCACTGGAGTACTGTTCGTAATAGCAAAATCTAGAGAGAAAAAGATAAATGTTTATGAACAAGAATATGGCTAAACTGAGTTACACATAAAAGTTGAATACTAAGTAGCAGAATAAAAGAACTAAGTATTTCAAGATGGTTAAATATAAAAAAATATTCAGGGTAAAGGAAATTGCAAAATAATCTCTAACTGTACCCATAAAACAATTTAAAATACACAAAACAGTTGAAGATATGTTTATTATTTATGATACAAAAATGTCATAAAGATATATAAAGACCCTCATGAGAATGGAAAGATCACCTAATTCAAGTGAGTGGCTACTCTTTGAAGGGAAGAATGGGGATGGGACCATGGAAAGTAGAGGGAGAGCCTCACCCTGGCTGTAATATTTTCTTTTCCAAAAAACAAAACCTAGGACAAATATGACACAATGTTAAGAGATGATAAAGCTGGGTGGAGGTACATATTATATGTATGTTTGAAATATTACTGTTACAGGTTGAACAGCATCCCCCAAAGAGATAAGTTGAAATTTTAACATCCAGATACCTGTGAATAGATAGAAGAGACAGTCCGTCCCTCTCAAGGCCCAGCAGGTTCCACTGCCTGCCCTTCTACATCCCAAGGCTGATTCCCTTCTGGGAAGTATTTGCTGGAAGTATTTTCTGACTATCTGTTTTGGATGGTAGCTCCCCAAAATGTGCTGAAGTCCTAACCCCAGTACCTGTGAATATAACCTTATCTGGAACAGGGTTTTTATAGACCTACTCAGGTCAAGATGAGGTCACTGGGGTAGGCCCTAATCCAATGTGACTGATGATAAGAGAAGAAAAGACACAGTTGGAAGAAAGCCATGTGATGAGATGGGCAGAGACTGGAGTGATGCAGCTGCAATCCAAGGAACACCGAAGACTGATAGCCACAACTACAAGTTAGGAAGAAGGAAGAATTCTTCCTACAGGTTTCAGAGGAAACAAGGTCTGCTCATCTTAATTTGTGACTTCCAGCCTCCAGAATTGTGAGATAATAATTTTTTTTAAGCTACCCAGTTTATGGTACTTTGCTAATGCAGCCCCAAGAAACTAAGACAATTGTATAATAAAAATGAAGAAAAATCTTAAGTATCTTTACATTTACCACCCCAAAAATTGCTATTTTGAACTACTGGCTGCCTGGAGCCAGACTATGTGTTTATTCCTAGAGGGATACTAATTTGAAAAAACCAGAATCACAGTTTAATTCCCATACATAAAACTGGGTTTATGGATATGTTCGTACTTACCTTGAATGTGATAATGTGGATATATACATGTCTCAAAACATATCAAAACACATAGTTTATATGTATGTATCTTATTGTATTTCAATTATATGTCAATAAAACTACAAAAAGGAAAGGACTTTGAACATCTAAATTCAGGAATTAAGGAAGATTCTGAGTGATTCAGAAGAAGCAGTCAGAAGGCAAGTTAGTAAAGGAAGGAAGAGAAGAGGACCCAGCATCCAGTGGCCAAGAGTAGAAATTTAGGCATTTTGGGAGCAAAATGTTATATTCTGTGTAACAAAACATTTACTTCTTTTCCTTTCCTGGAAATTTTTCAACAAAATTTACATTGCTTACTAATACTTTTGGTAAGAGCATATTTATCTTTGGGAAGATCAAGAGAAGAGAGTACATTTGTGGGGGAGCTCAAAGAAAATGATGAGGGAACAGAAGACATTACAAATAAATGAATGGAAAAATTACTGTATAAATGCATATCCTAGGAAATACAGATGGACAATGATCAACTATGGTTATCTTCTCTTTCATGATTAGTGGGTAAATGATGCCCTCTCATTATAGCACTTCCCTGCTTAGTAGAATTTAAAGGTCATGAATGAGGTGCCACCCTCTTCTGGCCTCAGATAATTTACCTAGTAAAATTAATTTCTGAAGCTAAAAGTAAAAGAATTTAATCTTGTACCAAGAATTTTTATAAAATACTATCAAGCAAGTGAACTTTTGGTTCCATTTGTGAAGTAAAGCACGAACAGGCAGATAATTCTGTCATCAGAATTTTTAAAAAAACAACCACTTTATTAAGATACACTGCACTCCATAAAATTCACCCTTTAAAAATTTTAAATGTAGTGGTTTTTTAGTACAGCTACAAGGTCATACAATCATCACCACTATCTAATAACAGAACACTTTCATCCCCAAAAGAAATCCCGTATTCATAAAGGTCACTCTCTATTTGTTTCTCCCCCTAGCCTCTGGCAATCACTAATCTACTCTCTCTCTGTGGATATGCCTAATCTGGACATTACATATAAATGAAAAAAATTATATAATATGTGGCCTATTTTGTCTGACATTTATTACTTGGCATAATGTTTTAGTTCATCCATGCATGTGTCAGTACTTAATTCCTTTTTGTTATCAAGTAACAGTCTACTGCATGAATATATCACATTTTGTTTATGTTGAATGCACCTCTTGACGCACATTAGGGTTATTTCCGTTTTGTGACTATTATGAACAATGCTGTTATGAACATTTCCTGTACATGTTCTTCTTTTAATGAATATATGTTTTCAATTTTCTTGGGGACATACCTAGAAGTGGAACTGCTGATCATTGTATAACATGATGTTTAAGGAACTGCCTAACAGTTTTCCAAAATGGAGGCAATAGTTAATACTCCCAGCAACAATGAATGTATGGGGGCTTCAACTTTTCCACACCATTACTGATTATTATAACCCAACACTGATTATTATCTTTTCTATATTAGCCATCCTACTGGGTATGAAGTAGTATCTCATTGTAATTTTAATCTATATTTCCCTAATAAATAATTATATTGAGCAGTTTTTCAAGTGCTTATTGGCCACTTGCATATCTTCTTTGGAGAAATATCAATTCAAACCCTTTGCCTGTCATTAGAATTTCGAGGTAAACTATTCTGCACACAAATGAAGTCTAACCATTTTGAGATAATAAAAGTACTTACATTTTGCTTTCTCTTCATCTCTGCCTCTTGTAAGAAGGACAAGTCCAACTATTAAATTATTGAAGTGTAGTCCTTTCGATGTTCCACCAAAGGAACAGTAAATCACCTAGGAGAAAATGATAAAGCCAACCTTAGGTATTTCCACTGTTGAGGAATTTGAGGCTGATATCATCTTTAAAAAATCTGTCTCCATTCCCAAAGAAGGCCCTGGTAAACTTTAGTGAAATGATGTTAAGTTTCTCCCTCTTCCTCTTATACACTTTGTTATCTCACTCATCCAAGAATATACTGTATCTATTCTATGAATATATATCACAGGCTCATACACTGAATATTTATTTATTCTTTTTCTTTGGAGTCCTTATCAAGGTCCAAGTAGATAAAGGTCCTCTCATATCTGATTATAAGAGACCCAATAATATAATAAGATAAAGGTCCCTCTTTATTTTGGTAGCCTCAATAATGTAAGAAGAATTTTGAGCAATTATACAATTTCCCTTAACCTCTATAAAATTCATACACATCCTTTGATTTTAAAGATCAACATTCTCTAGCTGAAGGTTCAGAAATACAACAATAATGTTAACAATATATAAATATATCAAGTTAACATGTTGAAGACCTTAAATTTACACAATGTTATATGTCAAATATAACAGGCAAAAATCTCTTGAATTAAGTAAGCATGAGCAAACTTTTCTGGCAAGGGAAACAAAAGTAAAAATAAACAAGTGGGATTACATCAAACTAAAAAGCTTCTGTACAGCAAACGACACCATCAACAAAACAAAAAAGGCAACCTACAGTACGGGAGAATATATTTGTAAATGATTTATCTGATAAGGGGATAACATCTAAAATATATAAAGAACTCATACAATGCAACACCAAAAAAAATCAAACAACCTAATTAAAAAAATTAGCTAAGGACCTAAAAAGAAACGTTTCCAAAGAAAACATACAGACAGCCAACAAGCAAATGAAAAGATGCTCCACATTGCCAACCATCAAAAAATGCAAAACAAAACCAAATGAGCTACCATCTTACACCAGTTAGAATGGCCACTAACAAAAAAAGACAAGAAACAACAAGTGTCAGCAAGGATGTGCAGAAAAGGGAAACCCTCCTACACTGCTGGTAAGAATGTAAATTGTACAGCCACTGTGGGAAGCAGTATGGAGGGTCCTCCAAAAACTAAAAATAGAAATATCATATGACCCAGTCATTCTACTTCTAAGAAATTACCTGAGGAAAACAAAATCTTTAATTTGAAAAGATACATGCACCTCTATGTTTATTGCTGCATTATTTACAATAGCCAAGATATGGAAACAACAAAAGTGTCCATCAATAGATGAATGGTTAAAGAAGTCATGGTACATATATACAATGGAGTATTATTTAGCCATGAAAAAGAAAGAAACCTTGCCATTCATAACAACATAGATAAACCTACAGTGTATTACATTAAGTGAACTAGTCCAGTTGGAGAAAAATAAATACCATATGACTTCACTTATATGTGGAATCTAAAAACAAAACAGGAAAAGAGGAGCCAAGATGGTGGCATGAGTAGGGCAGTGGAAATCTCCTCCCAAAAACATATATATTTTTGAAAATACAACAAATACAACTATTCCTAAAAGAGAGAAGAGAAGATAAAGGACAACAGCCAGGCTACATCTACACCTGTGAGAAACCAGGGACTCACAAAGAGGGTAAGATACAAGCTGCAGGCGGCGGGACCTGAGCGCCCCCGAACCCCAGCTCCAGGCAGCGGGAGAGGAGTCGGAGCAGGGAGGGAGAGGGAGCCCAGGACTGCTAAATACCCAGCCCTAGTCATCTGCACTGGGAGCGCAGACATATAGTGCAGGGTCTGCTGGAATCTAAGGAAACGTAACAGTAAAACCTGCAAGTGGGTTCCCGCAGCTGGTGCCTCTGGGACAAAAATAAAGCGAGTGCTTTTTGAAAGTCTTAAAGGGACAGGAACCTCACGGTTCAGATGCAACCTGGCATGCTCAGCCCAGAAGCTGGGAATCCCAGGGAACTATGGGTGGCATAACACCCTGGGCGGCAGCATGGCTCTGAGGCCCCTCATGGTGATAAACAGCCTCCCACCTGTTCCCCCTCTGGTGCAGCCTGCCATAGCAGAGCAGCAGCCTGAAATCAGCCACACCCACAGCAACCGCAGAGCTTCACTCCACAGTGGCCCAGGCAAGAATCAGAGACCCCATCTGGGAACAACTGCCCAGCACAAGCTGCAAGGGGTTGCCGTTCTCCCAGGAAAGGAAGGCCAGGAGCAAGTGGAAAGGGACTTGGTTCACCCAGCTGACATACAAACACATGCCAACTGGCCACGACTACCTCTACTGCCATGAAAAGGCAGAAGAATTTGATCCAGACCAGAATAACCCAGACATCCTCCCCTGAGAGGAAACCTGGGGGGAGAGATTTAACCAATCTTCCTGAAAAAGAACTCAAAATAAAGGTCATGAAAATGCTGATGGACTTGCAGAGAAATATGTAAGAACTAAGGAGGGAGAATACAGAAATAAAACAATCTCTGGAAGGACTTAAAAGCAGAATGGACGAGGTGCAAGAGGCTGTTAATGGAATAGAAATCAGAGAACACGAATGGAGAGAAGCTGACACAGAGAGAGAAAAAAGGATCTCCAGGAATGAAAGGATATTAAGAGAACTGTGTGACCAATCCAAAAGGAACAATATCCGCATTATAGGGGTACCAGACGAAGAAGAGAGAGAAAAAGGGATGGAAACTGTCTTCGAAGAAATAATTGCTGAAAACTTCCCCAACCTGGGGGAGGAAATAGTCTCTCAGACCACAGAAGCACACAGAACTACCAGCACAAGGGAACCAAGGAGGACAACACCAAGACACATAATAATTAAAATGGCAAAGATCAAAGACAAGGACAGAGTAGTAAAGGCAGCCAGAGAGAGAAAAAAGATCACCTACAAGGGAAAACCCATCAGGCTATCATCAGACTGCTCAACAGAAACCTTACAGGCCAGAAGAGAATGGCATGATGTATTTAATGCAATGAAACAGAAAGCCCTTGAACCAAGGATACTGTATTCAGCACGATTATCATTTAAATACAAAGGAGGGAATAAACAATTCCCAGACAAGCAAAAGTTGAGAGAATTTGCCTTCCACAAACCACCTCTACAGGGTATTTTACAGGGACTGCTCTAGATGGAAGCACCCCTAAGGCTAAACAGATGTCACCAGAGAAAATAAAATCACAGCAAAGAAAGCGGAACAATCAAATACTAACTAAAGGCAAAAAATAAAATGAACTACCCACAAAAGCAGTTAAAGGAAACACAAAATGCACAGAATAAAACACCCAACATATAAAGAATGAAGGAGGAAGAATAAGAAGGGAGAGAAATAAAGAATCATCAGACTATGTTTATCACAGTGCAATAAGTGAGTTAATTAGACGGTTAGATAGTAAAGAAGCTACCCTTGAACCTTTCATAACCACAAAACTAAAGCCTGCAATGGCAATAAGTACATATCATTCAATAATCACCCTAATTGTAAATGGACTGAATGCACCAATGAAAAGACACAGAGTAATAGAATGGATAAAAAAACAAGACCCATCTATATGCTGCTTACAAGAGACTCATCTCAAACCCAAAGACATGCACAGACTAAAAGTCAAGGGATAGAAAAAGATATTTCATGCATACAACAAGGAGAAAAAAGCAGGTGTTGCAGTAATAGTATCATACAAAATAGACTTCAAAACAAAGAAAGTAACAAGAGATAAAGAAGGACATTATAAAATGATAAAGGGGTCAAGCCAACAAGAGGATATAACCATTATAAATATATATGCAACCAATACAGGAGCTCAAACATATGTGAAACAAATACTAACAGAATTAACGGAGGAAATAGAATGCAATGCATTCATTCTAGGAGACTTCAACACACCACTCGCTCCAAAGGACAGATCCTCCAGACAGAAAATAAGTAAGGACACAGAGGCACTGAACAACACACTAGAACAGATAGACCTAATAGACATCTATAGAACTCTACATCCAAAAGCAACAGGATACACATTCTTCTCAAGTGCACATGGAACATTCTCCAGAATAGACCACATACTAGGCCACAAAAAGAGCCTCAGTAAATTCAAAAAGATTGAAATCGAATCAACCAACTTTTCAAACCACAAAGGTATAAAACTAGAAATAAATTGTACAAAGAAAGCAAAAAGGCTCACAAACACATGGAGGCTTACATCATGCTCCTAAATAAACAATGACGAAATTAAAATGGAGATCCAGCAATATATGGAAATAAATGACAACAACAACATAAAGCCACAAGTGGGATGCAGCAAAAGCAGTCTTAAGAGGAAAGTATGCAGCAATCCAGGCATATTTAAAGAAGGAAGAACAATTCCAAATGAATA